CCACCGGTTCTGCGTCAGATGAAGCTTTAATAGTCTCTGGACTGAAAGCACAAACATCAGTTAATACAAGTACAAGTAACAAGGGAAGTTTATCCTATTGACTCGGATATTACTCATGTACGCTAAAATATGTTAGTTTCCTTAAACTTGATATTTTTCTAAATTATTTCTCTCATCTTTACAATCTGCTAAATTAAATGTTGTGCAAATATACCAAATAAATGCATAAATTTAGTCCATACAGGTTTAAGCCGTAGATGAATGAAATGCACAGAAACAAATGATTAAAAATCTGTCACGTGTCAAGAGGGATTTAAGTAAAAATTTAATGGACTTCAAAAAAAACATTCTCAATTCAACTGTATTTTTTATAAATTTATATTGCTAATCTTTGCACTTAAGATTTAACATTAAAATATGTAGAAAATGTACGAAAACATTGTCGCCGCTGTGGGAATCGAACCCACGTCTTCGGCATTCACGGCATTTGACGCTTTAACCATTAAGCTAAACGGCTGATTGCCACACCAACGAAAATCTTAACGTCTTTTATCTACATTGTTTTTTTAGCATTTGAAGCAACGCTTGGCGCATCCATTGTTATATCCTTTCCAGCATACAAACAATTTCGAATATCGTTTTACAACCATAATTCGAACGAGAGATGCCGCCATTGCTTTTTAGAAATTTAAATTGTTTATAGTGGTAATCTTTGCACTTAAGATTTAACATTAAAATATGTAGAAAAACACCCACAGCGGCCACAATCTTTTCGTACTTTTTCTACATATTTTAATGTATTTTTTTATGTTTTTGTATGTTACCTCAGAACTTTCGACTGATTTTGATGATTCTTTTTTTATTTGAAAGCTGTTGCTTCCCACGTGGTCCTATAATAATTTCATTGGTATTGGATCTTGGGCTCCGGTGATACTTAGGGAACTCCTGAAGATCAATTATAAAATGAATACAGAGCGAGACATTTGAAGTCGGTCTCGTTTTTCGTAAATAAAAATATGGACTTTTATTATTAAACTGGCAACTAACTGCGTCAGACGGCGATAGTGTATCAAAGAGATATAACTTCACATCGCGGCACCTAGCACTGTATCAAATTGAAAAAGCGCTTCCTGTGACTTTCGCTCCGTATCGGAACGTTGGGAAATCGCGTGGGCCTTGTTATTAGCGTCGATATTGATTGGAAACGTTCACACGATGTGCACTAGCGTCGCGTCCGCAATTTCAATCGATCACCTAACGGCGCTGTTTTCACGACGCGACGGTTTACGCGACGAGTGCACTGGACACGATTTCACGCGGTCACCGATTTTTAGGGTTCCGTAGCCAAAGGTATTATTGAAATTCTCCCTATTACTGAAACTTTGCTGTCTGTCTGTCTGTCCATCGGTCAAAAGGCTGTATCTCATGAACCGTGATAGTTAGACAGTCTGCACTTGGAAGTCCCAGGGCTGCTGATGATTTTATACTTAAACTAGCTGACCCGGCAAACGTTGTTTTGCCATTTGTGGCACGTTGAGTGGCCCACCCTTAACATTTAGGGGGATGAATAATAGATGTCCGATTCTCCACCCTGGCCGATGTGCACACAAAATTTCACGAAAATCGGTCGAGCCGTTTCGCAGGAGTTCAATTACAAACACCGTGACACGAAAATTTTATATATAATTTTGTATACTTATATCAATAGAAAAATAAAGACAGACAAAACTCCTCTCGAGCTTGATTAGTCTCAAATGGGTCTGCATACTTCTCCATAGTTGTTATTACGGAGTTCCCTCCTTGTTACGTTATGTGCCTGTAGTTCAGAATTTATTATTAATTTGGATATATATTCACGCAAACACATCGGTGGATATTACGGATTGAATCACCACGATAATTGCCCGCATCTTGATCATCGCTTTATAAATCTTCACACCCATGCACATCGTATACTAGTACTCTTTATGCCGCTTAACTCTCCAGTATAGTCACTATACCTACTCAAAAACTTATCCTGTACTAGCGGACTGACAGACTTTGTCCTGTACACACGACTTAAATCTGACAAGAACTTATAAACAAAAAAAAATTAAAAAAATAGCATTGTAGTGGACCGAATTGTGAATATAAACCATTTTCGAGTCTCGAGTCGATACACAAAAAAAATCATTAAAATTAGGTTAGCTGTTTTGGAGTTCAGTGATATACACAAATACAAAAGAATTATATATATAAAGATATGGTCCAGGACACCAACACCGAATTTCCACTCATTTCCTAAAATTCTGTATTTAACTCTCCCTCCCTCGTCTGTTTTTCCTAATTCACAATCCAGTTTGTTTGAGCACAGTGACTGTGTAGTTATACTTATACCTGTCTATCTGAAACATTTTAAAGATCAGGGTTGTATATTGTTGTGATATTATTTTTCGGATTTGTAATAAAGTCCAAGTTTCTCAGAACAGTTCGCTACAATCTAAACTGATATTATAAATCGCCTGGAGATGTTCATTTCACGAGAAATTTTCCCAGAACCCGCACCGAAATAGAGCGAGATGTGAGTCAGTTCTTATTTTGTAGTGATTTTAGCTTTTTTTTTTTTTGCTCTCGAATAGTCGCCTTAGTGTATTTTCTTCGGCCTAGTCAATTGCTTGTATTTATACTGGCTTTGTACGCAAATATCCTTCGAAGAATAATTGGGAACGGTAAATTTATCAGGCACGTTTCGTGTCATTCACGCCGCAGTCTGATGCATTGCTGTTGCACGAATGGGCAAGTTTGTCCAGGGAACAGTAGTCACAGAAGACAGTAGAAGTGTTATACTTCTGCGTTTCGTCCGGTGCATGAGGTAGCCGGGCCTGTTAAAAGGTGGCAACGCATCTACAACCTTACGGGTGTTGCAAATGTCCATAGGCGGCGGTTATCACTTATACAAAACAACAACCGGGGCCTACTCGTTTAAAGGCATGCAATGCATTTGCACGGTGGTTTAAATGCCCATGTGGGACGATAATCATTTAACATCAGGAGAACCGCCGGTTCGCTAGCAACCTTCTTACATAAAAAAAAAATCCTTATTATAGTTTCAAATTCTTGTATCCAAACAGAATTGCCATAAGAATAGTGGTGACAGCCATAAAAATATGCATTCCCGTCGTCAACTTACGCGACTATCAGTTATTTTTAAAGAAATTCGTCATAATGTCAATTGTATGTACGACTATGATGAATTTGTGTTGTTACATAATTTCGAATTGCTGACCGCTAATCCCATTATGGTATCGGAAAAAGATAGACCCAGAACATAAATTATGTAAATACAGTATGCAATTTGAGTCATCGAACTTGTCTCCGTATATTCCTCCGCATACAGATCGTAATTTCGCAGACATATCTTTTAACGCAATAAACATATTTTCTCCCGTTAATGTTTTTAGAATTTTATCGCACCTCACAATTTACCACCTATTAATAGACAGTCTAAATAATTAGAACGACGCTTTGCAGTGTTAACCGCATTGCAGTGTTATCCAATAAGTGCTTTAAAGTTAAAAAAATGCCTCTCTTTACTACGAAATTGACCGTCGCAAAAAATAGTGAACAGATAATAGAACTGTGTTACAGGTAATATCAACTACTTACAATTTATTCCCAAGGATGGTTGACGTCAGGCAGGCGGCCGGTCGTAAAAATATCTAGCCAATACATTAACAATATGATTTATATTTGTGCCGACCCTGCCTGTTTTAACTGTGGTAGGGCCACGCAGCAGCCTCGGCTGTTGCACGAATGTGCAGGCTCGTCCGGGTAAGTACCACGACCTCACAGAAGACCGGCGTAAAGCGGAAGTATAAGAAATACTTTCGCGTTTCGTCTTGTGAGTGCGGTAGCCGGAGCTCAATCTTCAAAAGGTTGTCAACGCATCTGTTACCCTCGGGGGTGTAGCAGATTTCCATGGTAGGCGGTATTCACTTAACATCAGGTGAACTGCCTGCTCGGTTGGCAACTACATAAAAAAAATAAAAATAGACCTATGTGAGATAAGAACAGGAGATAGAGGATCAACGCGTCACAATTAATTACTAATAAAAGTCCCACAGTACGTTTGCGCCGCAACGGACCGCCGGGACGCACGTCCATTAATAAGCGATGCCGCGCGTTCGTTCACAAACTAGTTGCCGTTTCCTTCGCAGCCGTCGCACCCTAAAAGGCACTTTCGTCTGCCAACGAAAGCCAACTCCGCTATTCCAAGTCCGCTAATGATGGGAACCTCCATCAGGTTGTGCGCGCTATAAAAGCTTCGAGGTCGCGCCGTGTCACGGGTTACCGCGCCTTATTGCAGTGGCTTAGAGACGCTTTTCGCCTAAAGCTCGTCCATCTATCGACGCGACCGACACATACGCGTGGCCTCACCCACACAGACTCAGTGACCGGGTCAGATCTCATTCTAGAAGCTCCATTGATATTTCGCACCGCCCCTTCTCATTGATGAAACGACTCTACAGCTCGAATTGTTTTTTTTTACAAGCGCGCAGTTTAAAAGTGATATTATTTAAATACCATAGTAGTCCATTAGAAATTCCAATTGCGAAATTTACTGATTTAATATGACCAGCGCAAATTGTCGTTACTGATTATGGCCGTTTGGCTGTATGCACACTAAACTTCTTTTCTTACTTTCGATTCATTTCAAGTGTTTTATCACCTGGTTATTGTTCAATTTCTAGTTCTAGGACGTGATAGAGAAAAATTAAAAAGATGATGAACAAGTTATGAGTAGTAAAATTATATTTGTAGCCACTTACAACGTAAATTCAGTGACCGTGCACATTGATTTCAGACAGGGTATGGCACTAAAGAAACTTACCAGTTTCTCTGAGTAATTGATGATAACATAACAGGTCACTTGAATGATATCCAAAGTGACCTTTTTGCATGTATGGAGTGCACGTGCTCAGTATGGTCATAAGTAAAGTCAACATTAACGAAAATTCTCATTTCAACCCGTCCATGTCCATTAAATAATTTGTTTTTCCAATCTTTGTCTCTCGCTTGCGCATCCCCGGCGCTACATCCTCCCCGCGAGGGACGGTCTCTGGGTTCGATCCGGCGTCGTTGGCGACGGACACGCGGGGCGCCGGGGCGGCTGCACCGATAGGGTGCGGCAGGGCAGAGGGGGTGGGGGAGGGGGGGGGGGTAGTTTGACCCAGTTCGGGCTGCACAACCTGCCCCCATTTTCGCTATGACGTCAATCCCATTCACCCCGAGGCGTGGTGCTGAATCGATGCGCACCACTGGCCCCGAGCTCAATGGAACCCCCCCCCCCCCCCCCCCCCCCCCCTTATACATTCATCTCTCGGGCTATTTTTAGAACGGGTCTCGCCCGATACGCCGCTGGCCACATGAATCAAAACAGTATCGGTGTCCCTCGATTACGTAGTTTGCATAAATTAAACGTTGCCAGTGCGCTCTTCGCGGCTTAAGGTGTTTTTTCGCTGCGACAGTCGTCAAAATTTCCTATAACAACCTCAAGGAGTTTCTCTTTAGTGTCAAATTGTACTAAAAATAAACATTTTGTAATGTAAATTTTAGTTTCACCAACACTACCAACAATTTCCATGTTCGTTTTAGTATTATTATTTTTTTATTTGTAACAATTTAATGCCATGTCCTTAACCGACTTAAACATTATCGATACGCGGACAAAGAGTATTCACGGTACATATATATGTGTAAATTACTAAGTATACTATGTATTACTATGCGTATTGAAGCACTATTGAATGGTAATTGGTAATGATTGTTTAATATTTCAGTATTTATTTGCGCTTAGAAATCATCATTTAGTTCTACTCAGTAATCCAATTGCGATATCAGTATAGAGATAATTACATCGGATTATTGCTTTATCGTATTTGTATATATTTATTTGTTTAAGAAAATACAGTTTACAAAAAATTTATTAAACCAGTACAAAAATAAACTCGTAAGAGTTTTACCGTGTATCAGTATGATCAATTAAAGAATTGTACTTTGAAGAAAAACAGGACAAAAAAGCAAATATATGTGTGTGTGAATTTTGAAAGGAACTTGAAATATACTTGTTATTTGAATTAATTCCATTTGTCTTTGTTGATGAATTATTTTGCGTTTGATTCTACATTACCCGCGATGACGAGGATGAAATAGTACGATCTCGTTTATCCTGTACCTCGCCATCGTTGACGCCACTTTGTGGTGTTTACTATTGTGTTGTACCATGACATTGTGGACATTAAAATTATTTACAATAATAGTGATGACTCCGTCGCGCAGTGTTCAAGGTATCGGCTTGGGCGCCGGAGGTCGTTGGTTGATTCCCACACGAGACAACTATCCGTGGGTTACAATACAGGATCATGTTGTCCTACAGGAAGGGCAATGGTTTTTTTTTAAAAAGAAAAACTGCCTTTTTTGTTAATGTTTTTTTTTGAAAATTGTACCATGTCTATGACGATTTTGTGTGACAATGTACCGTATCTTTGCCGCAGATCTCTCGCGCCAGCATCGACGCCTGCAAGGACTACTTCCGCGACGACCTCATCAAGACCGACTGGCAGCTGATGGTGGAACTGAAGAAGCTGTTCCAGATCCTCTAATCACCACCCTACTCCCCCAAGCCTCGAAAAGCTCTCGTTCCCGCTACCACTTCGCGCGAACAGCGTTCGCTGCAACCTATCCATGTCTGATCCATCTAAGTGTCCCGTTGTATAATAGAATCTCACCCCAATCCCACAAGTGTTATTCTCAAGTTTATTTCTCGTCTCGCATCTTCGTTTAACCCTCCGTCGGCACACCACAGATCGGTTTAGAGGAACAAATTTATTTTAATCGCCATATTAGTTTGCGATACATTGTATATAGCCCATTTGCGATCTATTTATTTGTAGCAAAACATTAGCACTCTACAACCTTGTGTATCTTTATTACTGGGACTCGGGCACGCAGATGATACCAGACGTCTTTTGACCGTGGCGTCTTCCCCTCGATTACTTCAGCACGTGTTTTTTTTTTTCTTATTTGTAAATATTTGAATTTAACTAGATGAATTATTTACTTATTCGGTTCTAATGTATGTTTCTAGATATGAAGACCGTGTAAACGGGGAACGGCTGTTAGTAACAGTGCAATATACTTTGGTGCGCTTTAGCGGAGATATCTACCGAACACGGTGCTTTTGTTTTATTGAAATATAGTGCTTACCGATATCTATCGATATATTTATATTTTCGGTTGGTTTTATAATATAATAAACCATTTAATAAACAATTTGAACCATTTCATTTTCGATCGTTGTTTCCACTAAAGGTAGCTAAGAAAATATGGTCCTTTTTATGGTTAATAAATACTCGTTTTTAATATTTCGTGTAAATTTAAATGTTTCTTATGATTTGTGTCAGTTATATACGTTTTTTTGTCGGCCATACCACTATATTTCGTATGTTATAATGCTATTGTATTAATCAATTATCAGTGACTATAAAGTAATTTATATTTTAATGCTAATAGACACATTAAATTTTATTGCAGAACGCAATTGTATAGTTTCTATTGTCTATTGAATACTACGCATCGAGGGTGCCCAAAGAGTCCGCAATTTAAGATATAGAAGGTTGTATTTGATGTAGGAACTATCCCTCTTTTTTAAATGCTTTGTATTATATAGATGGAATCGGACATATTCTTATATTGAAAAAAAGTTTTATTAAATTAATAGATACGTAACCTGTTTTTTATTTTCAATCTGTACCACATACCGGAATAAAAGTGGAGCTTCCGAACTAATTTCTCAGTTCTAAAATAATGACATAGCTAACGTTAGCAACGTTTGGAAATTTCAAGTTTATAGAAGTTTATATAAAGGTGTTGAAGAGAACTCTAAATATTAAATTCAAGGAATGTCTGTCCGTGGTCCTAACCGGACTGCAAACGATAGTGACAATTTCAAAAAGGGAAAGAGTGCCAAATAAATAAACGGAATGAATACTTCAGGATATATTTAGACATCTATGTCCATTTGCAATTGAAGCAAATTTTGTACTATGGGTACTAGGTAACTGATAAACATAGCTTTTATTTTGTAAATAAACTATGGTCTACCCACACCCAGGTACTAGGAAAACAAAATTCAATATTTGCCCAGTAACACTACTGGTTTAAATCCGATATGGTTTTTCTGAGACAAGGGAAAGGTTCACTCTCCACTGCGCCAGTCGCAAAAGTCTAGTGTTAAATGCATAGATTCGTCTCGTAAGGACCAGGACTTCACGGAAGACCACCGTACTATAGAAGAATGTATAGTTTTGAATTACGTCAGGCTAGAAGCACCTAGAGCACACGGTCTGACGCTCTACGCATGATTGGCGATTCTCCTGAAATACCATGGATCTTGTTGATGTAAATGAGTTATAATAATCTTTTAACATATAAGCTGAAAAACTTGCTCGTTTACTATCCTTCCCAGTAAAAAAAACTTATAGGCTGTATATGCCTTCAGTCGGTTAGCTAGTCTGTGGGGTAATAATAGGATGGCAGGAGGCCATGAGCGTAGGTAAGTTCCCAATCATTTATTCACTTGTTGATATGCTCATGACTGTACGTACTTCAGGTGATGAATTATAAAAAATAATCTAGGGTGCATTAAATTAGCCGCGAGCCACTAATAGTATAGTTACACTACTTCTTGAAATAAGTATAGTTTCGATTAAACAATAAAATGTACCAACTAGATGGCTTAGTAAATTCGATATACAATTAAAGAATCACGACACATGAAAGTCCAATATTTATAAAGTTAGATACCATAACTAGTATATCACAAATATTAAGGAAGTAGGTTTATATAAACAGACACAAAATCGTCACTGTTTAAATAAGTTATTAAAATAATTATCACAACTCATTAACGATAAGCAAAAGTATTAATAATTCTTTAATTCACCCCGGCCTTCTGTTAGCTGGTCACCAATCGAAACGTTTATATATCACAGTTAAGTACAATTTAACTCATTACAAAGTGCATCAAAAATAGTAAGACGGGTAGTATAGATTGAGGAGGTAAATGTGCTGAATATCATCAGGATAGCAATTTAATAATTTAGTTATTAAATAATATGAGCACACTTTTTATTCAAGGCAATGTTGATCTCGCTTCATAGTATATGATGTCTATTACAAATTGAAACATATGCTTTATTGAAGAAATAAGAGGTTTTGAGCAATCAACTGTCAGGTAGAAAAACAACCAAACTGGACTAAATCTAATACAGATAAAAGAGTACATGAGATACCTTTTTTCATGTGAGAATTTGGCAAGCAAGTTGGCAATTTACTTGATGTTAAGTGATAACCGCCGCCCATTGATATTTAGAACAGCTTTTAATAAAATGGGCTCTGGTCACCTCACTCACCAGACGAAGGGTACACTTCATAAGACTTCAACTCCCGCCGGCCTTTCGAGGGGTCGTGGTAGTTACTGAGACAGACCTGCCCATTCATGCAACAATGGAGACTGTTCCGTAGCACTATCACGTTTGAATCTAAGTTTATCAGTGCTTAGTAAAATAGAGACCTGTTATGCACGGGCTCCCCAAAACCCATAGCTTGAAAAATTATTGAAAGTTATTACAAAATAAACCCAGGTAAGAGGTAATTGTTTAACAATAATGTTTGTGTGTGTAATCGATGTAAGCCGTAAGGTATTCGAAGTAGATAATATTTAGAAATCATAGATAAACATCATTTTGATTGAAATCTGTGACTTTAAATTTAGAGTTCTACAATAAAATATAAAGAAAATAATGACGACCCGAATGGCGTAGCGACAGAGGGTGTGGGTTCGATCCCCACTACTGGAAAAATATTGTGTGATGAGCATAGTGTTTTTCTAGTGCCTGGTTGTTTATATATGTATAATGTGTATTTATTTACCAAAGAAAAGTATGTTTATGTATGTCTATCAGTTTTCTAGTACCCATAGTACAAGCATTGCTTAGTTTGGGACTAGAGAATGTTGTGTAAAATAAAAAGAACGTGTCCTAAATATAGCCTCTTGAATATTGAGCTTTTAAGTATTTTAAAGGTTAAAACACTCACGTAGTGAAATTTAAATACTGTGTATGCCCAATTGGTCCAATATCATTATATTTACATCACTTTAAACTAATAACTGTCCAAAAAAACTTTATTAAGATGAAAGATTGCTACTATACGCGATGTTATTTAAATTTACATACATAGTGTGCATTTTGAGTCAAAAAGATACCTAATTCTAAATTTGTTTCATTTCTTATAGGCCGTAGACTAGACGTATAAACTCGCAATGGACAAGACAAGCCAGAACAAACACGATCCGTCACACTATGGAATATTCTAGAATCCAGTTCGCCGTGTAGGCGTACGGTAGGCGATATCAATAGATCGCGTCGGGGCTTGCGTGGGTCGTGTTTGTCACTGGGGCTTTAGGAAGGTCACCATTCCTCACACCATGGGAATTAAGACCAATGTCTGAGTAGAGCCGGGCGTAGGGAGGAGCGAGATTTGTAGGTAGACGTCACTACACCTTGGAATATTCTTATTCAAGTTTCCGGAAGATCGAATTCTTGGGCACTTTTTTGTGAACCTTCTCTATACTGATGGTTCAGTTATCGCTGGAGGAAGCCTGCGCCTGCCACAGCCGAGCTTTCGATCCGCTCGAAGCAGTAATCCGGGCTAGTTGCGGACGCGTTCGACCGGTTGCCATGGCGACGGGGCGCGCGTGGGCGAGGGGGTGGCGATTTCAGGGTCTAGGTCACGCCCCGGCGCGGTTTGCGCGTGCGCGATGAAGCTGCCCCGAAGAAACGGCCCAGCTTAGACCCGGACACTTCCTCATGGAAGCCAGTCGTAAAGTGCTCACCAGGTCGGCGGTCGGTGATAGAAAACGCGGCCTGGCTCGTGTCGCTCCGTCGAATGTCCGAAGTTCTCTATACGTGTGCCGCGCTAAAGCAGTGTTTGGAGTTTGAAAAGTCGCCTAGCGGTACGTACGAATTGTCTCTTATAATCGATCAGCTCGTTTTAAGTTTGGAAGAGTGTAGTCATTTTTTTTAAATTAATTTTTGATTGGATTTATAATAATTATGTTATAACAATGATCGGAATACGGTTACGTTTGCTTGATTATCGAATAACGCTGCTCTATGGGTAGTCCAATAATTTCAAATACAAAAAAATTCCTAATTTGCATAATATTTCAAATATATGAAAATTTGATGTGACGATAAATAAATTCTTAACGCTAAGTAATTTTGTTTGGATGTTACTTTTATCTACTTTTAAACGAACCAAAGTAAAAACTTTCATGCGACAAATTTAAAATAAATATATAAAACAAAAACTTTTAATATTTTAACCACGATAAGGATACTGTTATGATTCTGAAATAGTGAACTTTATACAATTTATTTCATTATATAATATTTAGTGAAAAGTATGCTTAGTTTGTGCCAACTTAATTTATTACAACTTCTTTTATTTAAATGTACTAATAAATAATGTGCACACTTACTCAACGCTATAGGTACTGATGAAATATGGTATAACATGATGAAATATAATAATATACTTTTGCGTAACAAATGTTGAGTGAAGTACAGAGCACTACTTCTTTAAAAGTTGGCAACGCATCTGCAATCCGTCTGGTATTGCAGATGTCCATGGACGGCGGTAATCACTTAACATCAGGTGAACCGCCTGTTCGCTTGCCAACTATTCACATAAAAAATTAAATAAGAGTCGAATCACTTCTTTATACAAATAAATCCGGAATCTATATATGGTAGAAAAGCTAGTGAAGATTATAAGACTAACAAATAATAATTGTTTCCCATCTGGGTATTTATTCCCAAAGAGGTTCGTACCAAACTAGCCTTATGTTCGTAATACCTATAACAACGATTCACATACTATACCGACCCCTCCTAGGTAAGGGAAAAGTTAAATATTTGAAATTAAAATAAACAAAATCGTTTGCGACAAAGCCACTTTTCGTACTTCGAGGTAATTATATATTGTTATAATATTATATTAAGATAATTAAGTAAGGAGTAGTTGAATGCAAAACACATCTGCCATGCGAATCTTCTGAAACGCAGCGTCCCTTTAGCTAAACTTGTATTAGCTGGTGTTCCACCTGTTTGCCGCCGCCCATAGACGACTGTAACACCCGTGTAGTTACATAGTTTTAAAAGAGTGGGTTATGGCTACCCCACTAAACAGGCGGAAGCAGAAATATAATATTTCGCCTTCACTTCGGTCTTCTGTGAAGCCGTGGTACCTTGAACAAGACTGCATTCGTGCGATATTAAAAGATACTGTTTGGCATTAAACAGCTTATGTACACATTTTACTAATAAAATGCGTAAAAAAAAGTAAAGTCTTTGGATTGGCGGACTTCACAGATCTACGAAATATTTTTTCTTTTCTTCCTATTTCTAAAATACGCAGGTTTCCTCACGATGTTTTTCTTCACCGCTGAGCACGTGATAAACCAGCACTAAATTTTTCATTGGTGCCGGCACCGGGAATCGAACTCAGGTTGCTCTACTCGAGCATTTGTTGAGCTTATTTAATTGAAAATGAGCTATCACAGCTCAAATAAATGTGTAAGCAAGACTAATTTTATTTTAAAGCCAACGTATCTAAAAATGGAAAATAAAACAATTTGAAGACTTCGATATTTCAATTGAAAATAAAGAAGAAGGAGAAGAGAGAGGAAAACGTATTTCAAGAGAAATGGTGGAAGACGCTGGGCTAACATATTATAGAAAGGATGCAGAGAGTTATGTTAGACTGTCTTGATTGATTTTACGATGAATAAACGTGTGAGCAGTGGATAACATTATAAAAACATTAGGCGTACTACTACTGCCTACTGACTGATTACGTCAAGAGAAGAACTTCAGGGTATAGTTCCATATGTGACAAAAATTTGTAGTAAATTTACTGCTGAGGACATTATTTTGGAGATTTTGCGACTGAAATCTCACTCGGAAGCTAGCAGCATTTCATTAGCGATGAAATATTTTCAAGTTTCTAAAATTCATTTTAAAATGGGTCAATTATGAGTCTATTTTGAGTCAAGCAGTTTTTTCAGATTTTTCTTAACTGTTTCGGTCTGATCATATTGTTTTGGTGGCTTCTTGTGTAAAAAGCCACCAAAACGTAGAGTAAGTAAGTAAGTAAGATTCTCAAAATCTTTCTAATCCTATATTGTCCATTGAAAAGGAGAGGAAAGTATATTTTGATAACGTTACGTGATCGAATATTTATAAAAATCTAGATACGTACGCATGTTTAAAATTTGTTATGTTTTGGGGGTGTGGGAAATAGAGAATTATCCAGAGTGCTTATTATGCAACACTCGCCACTGATTCTGTGGTACCGTCAACTTATAAATTATTTATTTTCGATTATCCGAACCACGCATAAATTATCTCAAAATTTTAGAGTATTGGTAAGCATTGAGTTAATGTTATGAATGTTAATACTCTGATAGTATTACTACCCCTATTGAAGCGTCACGGTCACACAAAATAGCAGCGTGAAGTAAATGTCTCTTATACTCTTGCGTTTCGTCTGGTAAGTGAGGTAACCGGGGCCTACTGCTTTAATTGGCATCTATAACTTCTATTTCGTCGTAGATGTCTATGGGCGTTATCAGTTACATCAGAGGTAGACCGATTGCTTCCTTGCCCACTTGTTATTTAACGGTTGGAGAGATCTATTGTGTGGTGACATATTGCAGACTTCTTTAACCAGCTGTGCTTCACATTCCCTATGTGGGTTATATATCACCTATGGTTTACCATAGGATTAACCATAAGATTTATATCGATAAAAGAGACGATATTCACGGTCCAAATCATCCACAGGTACAGTATTGTATTTACTTAAAAAAATTAATAAATATTCTTACGCAACGTTATCTTCTCCCAAACTAAGTAAAGCTATAGGTACTATGGGTATTAGGTAACTGACTTATAAATTTAAAAGAGATTATTTCAGTCTTACTGAAAATTTCGTGGTTATGGCAAAATATGATAATTAGATTTAAAGAAACAACCATTATCTTGGAGGCGCTCCAATTTTTTCGAGTTAAGAACGAAAGTTAAGAACTTTCTTCTGCAAGACTTCAATTTATTTACTGTATTTCTTTCTGGTTCAAAGTAATACGCCCAGGTTTCGTTACCTGTCGCAATATAAAAGTCCGCAAATGATTGCGCACCATTTAACTTTTTTATTATTACACTGCACCAGTCGACACGAAATCGTTTTACATTGAATAAAGAAAAAACAGTTTCGTAAATAGAAAAGTAAAGAATGTTCACAGAGAGGTGCATTTTCAAATTCTTTAATTAGTTTTTTATTAAATCTTAGTTGGCCAGTTCCCGGAACTTAGAATATGTCTCCCGTAAATGGCACAAAAGAGACCTTGGCCCTCATTTCTTGTGATTCCGTAATGATACGATGATAACTATTCTGTTGACAATTCTATTAAAACATAATCCTTATAAATCAGATAAACACGAATTGCTCTAGATTTTATGACTGACACTTCTAATGTCCATTCTGTAAAAAGCATCTTTGTTGATTTGTTAAATGTTTTTCTGTATTACTCTATTATAAAAACCCGTCATTGCCCTTTATAAAGGCTTTAAGACATTAATAAACTGTAACTAAATAATGAGAATATTTTAATTACCGAAGAAATTTATTGATACGATTACATTGATTAAGAGAGTTGAGAGGATTGGAGCAAAAGCATACGATCATGGGGAACTAATAATTTACTGCTCAAACTATTCGATGCCATTAGACGTTAAAAACTTGCTTTAGTCGACATACTGAATGTTACTCCATACACTGATGCAAGCACGATTCATCGAATAGTGCGCAAAAAAAAAACAATACATTACTTCCGTTACATAACACTGTTTACATCGGCTGCATCACAGATTATTACTCGTTACATAACGCGTGGTACATACACACTGCCGGGGCATAGACAAGTCTGTCAGTCTAGACGCGGCCGAGGCCGCAGCTTCCCAGGCGGGCTGCTTCGGACCGCGTTTCGGGGCGCGCGTGTCGTTCATTCATGCGCGCGAGTGAATGGAGGAGCGGGTGCCGCCGCGCCGAAACAGTCGAAAGTCGAACGCCCGCGCGCCACACGCGCCGCGGAAGCGTCCGCGCACCGCGCCCCGCCACGCCGCGCCACCGACGGACGCCTTATTTATACACCGGCCGACCTTGCCCCGCGCCATTGTTTCGAACGGGGAGGAGAACGCCGAGCCACCATCCACCCGCGATGCGCACGTCGCTAACACGCCCGTAAGACCTTAAGACACTGCACCGCTTCCCTCATTTTGTTTTTAAATACGCGCTAATTTTTTATCTGTCCAACTGTCACTGTTCAAACGGGAGAAGCACAGGGCGGAAACGGCCCGTGTTGTTGTAATGTCAGTGCAGCTGGCTGATGGTGAAAAAACGCATCGTCGCACTGACAGTTATAGTTCTGGGAACTACGGTTGGCGGGAGTTATAAGTCGTCAGTAGGGCCTAGTCCTAGCTAACAGTAGCGAGGTCCCGTTGCTCGTCGGCGACGCGGACGCGGCGATGCCGTAACCAGGTATCACGTTTTACCCGGAATGGCCTAATTTTGAAATCCGCAATTTATTCACCGCGTACAGTAATCGAGCGATAGCGCTTCCTGTTATTACATGAGTATGAGAATGACAAGATTTACATTACATAATATTAAAAACAGAACATATACATTTTTAATATGATAAAAATATGGATGTTTCGTGTTTTCCTTAACCGTAGGCAAGATAATAAATACGTTTAAGGAAAGAACGCGACCGGTGATATGATCCTTCATCATTAGCTATTATGAAGAACATATAGAAAATATATTCCTTACTTCTTCTTCATATACTTCCTATTAAAATGCTTCTTTATTATATAAAATACATCTTAGATCCAGTTCATCGGTCTTTACTCAGGCCTTCTCTTGTCCTAACAGCCGCGTACATCCATAATTATTAATCGATTCATACTACCCTTATTTGTCGGCGTAAATGTTTCTCTAAATAATAAAAAACTTCAGCAAAAAAGTCTTGCCTAGAAGATTTAGCGCGGGATAACTGACGCAGGTAGATAACGTACACTGCGTTCTTTACTGATGTTTTTAAAAAGATTAACGGCCGGTTACAATCTTCTATCTACAGATAGACTGGGCTACTGGAGACAGAATTTTGACATAAGTATTATGGAGCCAATGTCTAACTATCGCTAGTAACCAAATCTATCTGTAGATTGATTATTGAAACTGGCCGTAAGACATACTTTCGATAGTTTTGACCACGTTATGACTCATTAGCTTTATGAACCTTGCATTTATAAAACCATTGTGAGAAGAGAGATGTTAACTTGACATATTGGAGCAGTGATCGTTCAGTGTAAATTTGATTGGCCGAAATATTATAGGACCCGGTTGGTGTAGTGAATAGTAAGCTAGCGCCAGAACTGTTGGTAAAAGGTGGCAACGCATCTGCAATCCTTCGGGTGTTGCAAATGTCCATAGGCGGCGGTTTTCACTTAACATCAGGGGCCCGCAAGCTCGCTTGCCACATTCTCACATAAAAAAGAGCAGAGGGTTCGACCTCCATAACTGGAAGGTTATTATGAACACAGTGTTTTATAATGTCTGGACGTCTATATATCCATGATATGAATTTCCTCTTAGGGCACCTTAGTTTAGGACTAAATAACGTAGTGTAGAAATATGCATTGAAATGAATCCTATTATTATTTATTAAGGACTATTTATTGCAGACTACCACACTTCCTTTGTAGAAATTGGTTATATGCATTAAATATTTATATAACTTTCCAGTATTTTTTTACTTTTACAACACTATAAACTTTTGTTGTGAGAGTTGAAATATTAAACTATTATAACGGACGACCGCCTTTTATGAACTCGATATAAAATGAATAAGTTACAAATATTTAAGAGGTATACAATAGAAATTATAATTATATTCGAAAATTGAACAAAACTTAGTAATAAGTATATTAAAAATTACCTGCCAGTGCAATCAGAGTATAAAATAAATTAAATAAAACCTCTATACACCGTCCATAAAATGCTATCTCGCGGTAAAACAAGTATAACAACCGTACGAAACTTGATCTAACGTAATGTAGGTAACAGGAAGTGGCTCTCTTATTGCACTCACCGTTTTCACTGCCAAGCTACTGAGACCTCTCTGTTAAGTGTCCGTGAATCGCAAAGCGCGTGCCCAATGGGATGTGGAGAAAAAAAAGCACTCTGAAATACTATTTCACAGATAAGATAAGCGTCGCTACCACAAGCCCGGGGCCGCTTTAAGGGAACCGAAGCCTTTATCTGTTTAAAAAACTCTTAAAGACCAATATGACAGACTTTAAAACGTAAGCCGGATATCGATGTTGGCGCCAGTGCACTCTTTGCCCGGACAATGCGTCTTGTTGCGTCTACAACGGCTGTTAATTGTTTTGTCACGAGACACTCACATTTCAGAGTACGCGTTTGTCTTTATCGAGTGGCGATTGCATTTAGGTGTGGGTTTTCATCGACAGCGGTAAACTAACTAGTTACCACTAAGGCTTTTTTCGAGGGCTTAAAGTTATTTAATCTATTTTTTTTTAATGTTATAAGTTGGCGAGTTTAACGAGCAGGCAGTTCAGCTGATGGTGAGTGATTACCGCCGTCCATGGATAACTTCAATGCCCGACGGGTTGCAGATGCGTGCAAAAATTAAAATGGTGAGCCCCGTTTACCCCACTCACCGGACGAAACGCGTAACACTAACACTTCCACTTTTTTGTATCGGGGGAAATCTTCATCGAAATGGATCTAAACATCCTTTTTCTTTAAGATGAGATACGACAATGTTTATTCGTAAAAAATTTCTTCCGTATGCTTCTGAATATAAAACTCAAAAACTAGCTGATGGATTTACTCGATATTTATTATTGATTATTATATAACAACGTTTTCATATACATTATATTATTATATTATTTCGCTTCACTGGTGTACGTCTCCGCCTATGCCTCGCCGCTTCCCATTATAACGTCATCCTACAGTATGATAGTAGTACATACACAGATGTGCAACCACAGGCCCAACGCTTGTCACATTTTGTTGAGCTGTAAGAAATGTGAAAGACAGTAGTTTTCTCCGTCTACCCCGTCACGATTTTAGTCGCTTGGTTTTTTTTAATGTATTCCGATATATTCCCTCTAGCTTTCTAACAAACTTGTCTTTACAACGTATGTAAAATAAAAATAAAAAACAACTCAAGATATCGGTAAAAAGTCGAGTTCGTATGATGGCCCTGTTATTTTATTTTTAGACGCGAGGACTGACTTATGCTGATAAAATATCTAGACATACCTAAAACTTGATCTTTGCGTCAATATTAATACTGATTAGTGTAGAAAGAAGCGATAAAGTTAATGAACAACATCCGATAGCAATTAAGAAGCTTGTTTAAAGAGCGAATATCGTTTAGATTGTCCAGTACTAGATCGTTCTACTAGACCGTTAGATATTTATAGGATGTAATTTTGCACAAAATTATCTATTTTCTATGTAAGTACACAAATCAACTCGTGAAAGTGACGTGAAAGTGTGTGTGATTTTAGATTTTTTTTGTTTAATATTGCAGGTCCAGGCAGCGGCATGTGGGCATATCAGGTGGCAGTGTTCACTTTACAATAAAATAAGAACTTAACAATAAACGGTTGAACCGCCTGCTTGCTTGCCAATTTCCCGCGTGTAAAAAGTGTTATCATTGTACGAAAAAGTTGCGATTTAACGGTGTTAATGGAATTGCCATAAAAATCTTTATATCCACTTATAATACGCGTGACACCTAGCAGTGTGTCCACAATTTCGTATTGTGGACACACTGCAAGGTTATTTATATTTATATAAAATTAATTTGTATATCAATTTTAATTACAACGTTTATGCGTCAAACGGACTTCCTAACAGATAAATTAATGAGAATTAATTGATCTAGATCATGATACATCTCAAAGTTACTTTTATGGACATGCTGTTAACAAAGAAGGTATTTGCGTCTACTTTAGAGTCCCGTATGTGCAGGTCCAAAGTAGCCGACAAGAGCGTTTGGCAACATCGTATTTAAACAATGGGCGGTAGTTTCGCGTAACTTTTATATTTTTTTAACCAGTGACCAGTTGTAGAAACGCTCGCGAGTCGTAAGGTCGAATTTCGCGTGGCGGGCGGGCGATAGCTGCGGGGAGCCGGGGCGCCGCGACCTCGTGCAGATAAATCTATCAATGAACGCGATAAGGGGACGCGTGTCGGCCGGAGGAAGTGCCGCGCGTCCTGCGCCGCCAACGGTATCTCTAACACCGCATTTAGCGTATTGTTTTTTTTTGGTCTTTTCTTATGCGAAAAACGGTTAAGGCACTGAACAAGCCGAAAGCTAACTGGAGATGAGGGGAAAGAATAATATCCGCTCAAAGCTCACTGGATATTGATGCTTATTTAATGTAAATTTCATTTCTGATTGGATTGTTTAATTGTGTAATGACTTTTGTCGGTTTGTTTTTAGCGACAGGCCTGTCGTGCGAAAATGAATAAATATACAGGTATGCAGTTGTGGATTGGTGGACATAATCATTTCTTTATAATTTTCTCTTTTTCAATAGGATAATTTTAATTTTATTGTTGGTAATCCACCTTTTATTTCCATATTTTTGTTTTAAATAAAACTCCAGTATTCATTAGCCCGAAGTTATAAATGTATCACTATTTGCTGGATAACACGTATAAAAATTGTTTTTTAATTGTTTAATTCTTGGTCATGTTTGGTAAAATAATGCCGTTGGTTCATCTGGCTTATTTGATAGTATGTCTTCCTTCGATATGCTAATTTCATCAAATAATAATGGCAACATGAAGCTAGAGCTAAATAGATGATACAATAAAAACGTATAAATACTCTGTGATCAATGCATTAAGTTCTAAATTGGAGTGCATTTAACCTACTTGTCTGTGAATAGACCGATTGCACTTGGGACTTGTGTGAGCGATTTTGGACCTTCTGACAGTTATTTTCTAATCCTGACTACTCCAGAAGCGTTTGTCGCTTCATGATAGCGACGTATCACGAACGAATGCCCTAGATTTGTAGGTGCGCTTGATCTAGGTCATTCATCTGCCTGCTGGTGGTACCCGAGTCCAATAAATTCAACAGATAAGTGAAAACGTGCTCATCTATTGCACGTTATCAATGTTGTTGACGCGCTTGAACGGTAAAAGGCTCAAGACTGGTACCCTACTGGAGTAGACAGCAAATGAATACTTTTCATTGCAAAAATAATTTGTCCAGATAAATTTTCTTAATTTTCCAGCGCTGCGGCAAGTTCAACCTTCATCTTGAGCGCAGAGATTAGTATAAAAAATAAAATCGATCAAAACTTTCAATGTAACAGACTATTACATAATTTAATTTTTATATTTTTTGCAAAAAAAAAAGTAACAAATAGCTTTGTGTTGCAAGTTGCAAACATAACAAAAGAACTCATGTATTCCG